ATAAGATACAATGCAAAATTACGGCGATGAATTCAGATGCGGGCGATAATAGCGCCTTTTGTAGAGAAGAGAAGTGGCGCTCCTTGCGGTGAAATTTCGAAGCTCGCTTCGGGGGTCCGTACAGCGCCAATTAGGCCAACGGCAAAATGCTCAAACTGCTAGACAAAATCGACTGTCGGTAATTTGGCTAACAGTTTGAGCGTTTTGCCACTGGACTAATTGGCGCTGTACGAACCCCCGAAGCGAGCTTCGAAATTTCACCGCAAGGAGCGCCACTTGTCGCAAGAGGCGCTATATTTAAATTATGAGAAGGACGTTCCGAAAAGAGCCGAAAATCGTGTCGGGATNGAATTTTGCAGGAACCGAACAGGTTGCCGCTTTTTACGGCGGCAGATCTTTTTTCCACGTCGGCCTGTACGAAGGATTCCTGTCGAACGTTGGATCGGCCGTGGAACACGTTCGTGACAATTAAAATGACGACAATGCGTCGAATCGTCGTCAGGATATTGTTTTCGGTAGGGTAAGTGTGAGTATAACTGCGGATAATACTGCGGTAATAATCCCAAATATATAATAATATATATTGTAATATATATATATTAATATAATTAATATAATTATTAATATGATAATTAATATTAATATAATTATATATTATTATTAATTTTTTCCCGTCGGATTGCTCCTTACGGGAAAAGCAGCACGAATCACATTTTTTCGAACATTCAATATTGAAACAAAACATAAGATCGTCTACTACTAATTAATTCTAACACGATTATGCGATAAGTTATTGCAAGCGTATTGCTTGAAAGACCCTTTCTGAGGTTTTCAATCATAAAAGTACGCGTAGCACGCCTGTGACGTTACAAGGAGTAGAAACTAGAAGCATCTTTTAACGTCTAGCTTTTCGTCTGTTGATGATGTTCACGCGCATTTTACAATATAATTTATTGATTTATTTCTAAAATTTATTTATTTATAACACAATTGTTTAATACGATACACTTTCTTAAATCCGAATCAAGACCGACAATCGTGTGTTCCGGATAATCGAGCATTCGACCGGTTGCCGAACAATCGTGGTTCCCCTGTATTTTACAAAGTGGACGCCGTGGGTGCATAATAATCCGCAAGTCTAGCGATTACTTTCTCTTCGGTCCGGTCTCAGCCGTCGGCTTGCGATCAATTACGAAGTTCACGAAGAATAAAGATATAACACCGCGGTCGCGTTACGAAGGTGTATACTGGATCTGTAAGTGGATCAAGGTTTGCACCGTCGCGCGAATCTGGTTTGCCCGGAGTTCCCGATTAACGCAACGATTCGCATTACGTGCATTATACGGGGACGCTCGGTGCGTACGAGGCGTGGTTGCCGCATTGTGTAACCCCGGGGGGACGCCGGGCGGGCACTAGCGGAGAAAGTGTTGGAGAGCCTCGATGCTTGTCCGTGAATTGTTAATAAAAAAAAAAAGCGGTCTCCTTTAACGAGCGAAACGCCAACGTAACGACCGCGTCGTCGTCGTCGCCTCGCCGCCGACGACGACGACGACTTCGATGCCTGCGCGCATTCTTGTTTTCGTATCCGATGCTTTTTTTCCTGGGCCGCGACCGTCCAGCTTCTGCTGGACCTTACCCTTCCGTGTCCTTCGGAGATCGAATTTTGCAGGAACCGAACAGGTTGCCGCTTTTTACGGCGGCAGATCTTTTTTCCACGTCGGCCTGTACGAAGGATTCCTGTCGAACGTTGGATCGGCCGTGGAACACGTTCGTGACAATTAAAACGACGACAATGCGTCGAATCGTCGTCAGGATATTGTTTTCGGTAGGGCGAGTGTGGGTGTAACTGCGGATAATACTGCGGTAATAATCCCAAGTATATAATAATATATATTGTAATATATATATATTAATATAATTAATATAATTATTAATATGATAATTNATATATATATATATATATATATATATATATTATTATATATATATATATATATATATATTATATATATATATATATATATATATATATATATATATATTATATTATTACTATATACTCTTATTATTATATATATTATGTTATATTATTGTTATATTAATATAATATTATTATTATGATATTATATTATATATAATCCCAAATACTGCGGTAAAATCTGACATTTTGTAATGTGTAATGCTCTAAAAATGAATCTCATAATTGTCTACATGTTTAATATTGATAATTTATGACGTTCAACCAACAGCAATCGCAGCTTTAATTCGTCTATTGACTTTTGTATATTCTTAAGCTCATGAAAACGTCGAGTCTTATGAAATACTCGTGACGGCAGCTGGCATTATTTTCAGATAAAGTAAACGTTTACTTTGATCAAAAATCGACGT